CCAGTTGTAATGGTGTCCAGCCGGTCTTGCACCACCTTGCAGGCATCATGATCTGACACCTCGTGCATGTGGCAGGGAACCTGCTCCTACAAGCCCTTCCTGAGGGGTCCCACGCTGGCCCTGGTGTTGGCAGCTTTGGCAGCCGACCCTGCAGGAGAAGGCGTTCACCCCAGTCTGCCTGCAGGAGATGGCAGGGTCTGGCCCTGGGGCTGCCTCGTCACCAGCCCAGCCACATCTGCTCTCATAGACGGGGCCCCAACACCTCCTGCACTGCACCGTGCTCCTCGCAGCCCTGAGCGGTCTCCTGCCCGAGCTCCCTCCTCACCCAGTGGGCCAGAGCAGAAAGAAGGCGACTGGCAGCACCCAGGGGAAGCACACACGTGGGCAGCACATGCGTGGGCTCCTCGCTGCAGGAATGATCTCCCACAGCCAGGCACTGCCTGAATCTCACCTCCAAGCCACCTGGGGCCCTGGCAGTGCTGTCCTCTCCCCGCTAGCACCAGGACCAAGGCCCTGCTGCAACGGCTGTGGGAAGCGAGTGCCAGGAAGCTCTTCCTCCTGTGGCAGCAGGCTTGCCTGCCTGCACGCTGGTGGTTATGTGGGGCTGCAGCCACCTCTCTGTGGAGGTGCTCCGAGGGACCCCAGCACTAACCAGGTGACCTAACATGGGGTGAGGAGCCCAAGCCTGGGCGGGGGTGCCATGGAAAGCCAGCCAGGGGCTGGGCGGCTGCAGTACCTGCTGAAGCACCAGCCTGGTTGGCCATCCTGCTGGCGGCAGATGCACTGGGGGAGACGGATGGTCCTCGGGGTGGGTGAGGTTGGACAAGACAGCCTGGAAATGGAGGAGCTGGCAGGTGTTGAGCAGAGAGGGGCAAGAGGACACAGGGTGGTGTGACAGGCACAGGGGCAGGAACAGCCAGGACAGAGGATGAGTGTGCGGGTGGGATGGCAGCAGGGGAGAGCAATGGGAGCAGATGAGTGTGATGTAAAATTCGAAGACATGGCTGGCTGCCAGATGGACACCTCCCACACCAGGCGCTCCCTCCCCGCTCCCTCCATCCTATCTGCTGGCCTCATCGTGTGCCCCATGAGCTGAGAGCTGGACAGGCCCGGCGTGACAGAGACATGGGGATTGCAACCACAGCACATGCCTCCTTCTGCCACCCGCTTTGCTGCTCTTCGTCACAGCAGGCTGGAAGCAAACGCAGACATCCCCTCTGCCTGTGCAAACCCACTCGCTCAAGCCTAGCACAGCACGGAGCGGCTGGGG